GAAAAAGGGCAGCACCTGTGGCTCAAAAGAGTAGGGCACTGGCCCCATGTGCTGGAGGTTGCGGGTTCAAACCCAGCCCTGGCCAAAAACAAATTCTAGAAAAAAATGATTTCTAACTTAGCATTCTAACTCAGTCAAGCCATCAATCTCTTGAATGGTCAAGATCTCAAAAACTTGACCTGTCCTTACTCTGGAAGTGCTCCACTAACATGATGCCAGTAGAGAGAAAGACATCAGATCTAGGACATGAGCAACTTAGCAGCAAGAGGCCAGGAGACTCCCCCAAGCAACCAGAAGGGAGTTCCCAGAGCTAAGACAGCATATCCCAAAAGCTTCTGCAGAGACCCCACTGACAGACCCCATGGTAAGTCTAAAAAGCCAGAGACAGAAGGATGATGGGTAGGAAACTTGGAGCTGAGCTGGTAGCTAACAAACTAAGCAAAAAGTATTGACTCCAAGAAAGCAGAGTAGACAGGTAAGCACATGTAGCTGCGCTGCAAGTCTCTTCACACAATCTGCTGACTGATCCATGTGCAGCACTCGCTGAGGATGAGGGAACAGAAAGAGATGAGAGTTAATCCTCATCTGTTCTGGTGGGAAGCAAGAGAAGCTGCCCTAAACTGAAAAGCTAAATAGAGATACTACTTTATTTTTTAGAGATATGGGGGCAAATTCCAAAAAGTCAGCTGAGTTTAGAGTGACTGTCCTTATGGTGGAAATTGACTGGGGAAAAGGACTGCTGCTTTTCCTAACAAGCCAAATAGATATACAAGTTCACTAAAGGTTAAGAAAAAGGGCTGGGTGTGATGGTTCATGCCCAGCACACTAAAAGACCAAGGCAGGGATCGAATGAGTTCAGTAGCTCCAGACCAGCCTCAGCAAGATCAAGATCCTGTCTTTACTAAAATAGCCAGTCGCTATAGTGACTGCTTGTAGTCCCAACAATGCAGGATGCTGAAGATGGACGATTACCTGAACCCAGGAGTTTGAGGTTGTTGTGAGCTAGGCTGATACTACAGCACTCTAGCCCGAGGCAACAAGTTGAGACTCAAAAGGCCAGGGCCTGTAGCTTAGCAGTTAGGGTGCCAGCCACATGCACTGGAGCTGGTGGGTTTGAACCCAGCCTGAGCCTGCTAAACAAACAAACAAAACAAACAAAAAGAAAACAGCTGGGCATCGTGGTAGGCACCTGTAGTCCTACCAGCTACAGGAGAGGCTGAGACAAGACAATTGCTCAAGCAGCAAAAGAATTTGAGATTGTTGTGAGCTGTGACACCACAGCACTCTATTGAGGACTAAAATAGTGAGACTCTGACTCAAAAAGGTGTTAAAAAAAAAAA